TTTACAAAATTTCACCCACCACAGTATCTCCCTAATATAACTTCCTTTTCCAATGAAAAGACTGAAGATAAATATTGTCTTAGCAATCCTGTAATGCTCTTACTATGGGCATGCAAAGATCTGTTCCTAGTGATCCATCACACTTAAATTTTTATCCACTCTATTTGGAAATATTCTTGATTCTCTTGATATCCACTGCAAATTGTTTTTAATACACTTTTTGCCATTGCTCCCATTCTTTTTAAAAATTATTTTGTGCATGTGGCCAGCATTTGTCCTCTGTCACTAATTGCCCTTGAGTGGTTTGTTAGACCATTCCAGAGGACAGTTAAGAGTCAATCACATTGCTGTCAATCTGGAGTCACGTATCGGTCAGATAAGGATAGCTATGTTCCTACCCTAAAGGCCATAAGTGAATCAGATGGGTTTGTCAACAATAGGTGATAGCCATCACGGTCACTATCACTGTTGCTAATTTCATAGTTACAGATATTATTAATGGAATTTAAGATTTACCAGGAATCCGTGTCACCAGAAGATTAGCCCGGGCTACTGGAAAGTCCATTATACCCCAATCTTGCCCGTTTTGTGTAGCAATTGATCTTACTCAACCGTTGACTAATTTATCTGACTGGTTCTCGGCCAGGCATAGCTTTCTCTGTCTGTTGTTCTTTTCTGACTCTGTTTCCTGTAACCCAGAGTCGATCAAATAAGGCTGTGCATTTTCCATACCCACAACTGAGCCAAAGTCCCTCTGACAGCTGTAGGAAAATAATCAAGATGGAATGCTGGCCTTAAATCGAGACGACTGCAGTATAAGGAGAAGAAGTTATGGTGCAACTGTACAAAACACTGGTTAGACCCTGCTTGAAGTACTGTGAGCAGGTCTGGGCGCCGCATCTTAGGAAGGATATATTGGCCTTGGAGGGAATACAACATGGAGTACATCATTACAAGAATGATACCTGGACTTCAGGGCTTAGGTTATGAGAAGAGATTATATCAATTGGGCCTGGTTTCACTAGAATTTAAAAGGTTAAGGGATGATCTGATCGAAGTCTTCAAGATATTAACAGGAAAAAAACAGGGTAGATAAAGATAGGTGTAGAGCTGGATGAAGGGTCTAGGCCCTGAAAGTCAGCCTTCCTGCTTCTCTGATGCTGCTTGGCCTGCTGTGTTCATCCAGCTCTACACCTTGTTATCTGTGTTCATCCAGCTCTACACCTTGTTATCAAGAAGGGTCTAGGCCCGAAATGTCAGCTTTCCTGCTCCTCTGATGCTGCTTGGCCCACTGTGTTCATCCAGCTCTACACCCTGTTATCAAGAAGGGTCTAGGCCCGAAACGTCAGCTTTCCTGCTCCTCTGATGCTGCTTGGCCCACTGTGTTCATCCAGCTCTACACGTTGTTATCTCAGATTCTCCAGCATCTGCAGTTCCTACTATCTCCTAGATAAAGATAGACTACTTCCGCTGGCTGGGGATTATAGAACTAAGGGGCACGGTGTCAAAATTACAGCCAGACCATTCAGGAGAGATATGCGGAACCACTTAGAGTCATAGATTAATACAGCCCAGAAACAGACCTCTTGGTCCAACCAGTCTATGCTGACCAAGTTCCCAAACTAAACTAGTCCCACTTGGCTGCATTTGGCCCATATCCCTCCAGACCTTTACAATTCATGCACATGTCCAGATGTCTTTTAAACATTGTAACTGTACCTGCATCCATCACTTTCAGTTCATTCCACACACGAACCACTCTCTGTGTAAAAGAGTTGCCTCTCATATCCTTTTTAAATTTTTCTCCTCTCAGCTTAAAAATGTGCCCTAGTTTTGAACCCTCTACTCTAGAGAAAAGACGCTTGTCATTCACCTTATCCATACCCCTCATGATTTTATAAACCTGAATAGGGTGATCGATGTTTAAAACTCTCTTCCACAAACACAGTTGATGCTAGATCTGTTGTTAATTTTAATTTTGGGTTAGGTAAATGTTTGTTCAGCAAAAGCATTAAGGAATATGGGCTAAAAGCAGGAGATGGACTTAGGCCATAGATTAGCTGTGACCTCATTGAATAGCAGAACAGGTTTGAGGGGCTGAATGGCCTACTCCTGTTCATTTGTACTGTTTTCATGACCATTAAGGTGAGTTGCTACATTTCAGAACAGGAGGTGCTGGAGGTCTTAAAATGCATAAAGGTAGATAAATCCCTGGGGCCTGATCAAGTGTAATTGGTAAATAGGGGACGGTGAAGAGGTTATCTAACAGCACAACGGGATCTTGATCAATTGAGCCAGTAGGTCAAGGAATGGCAGATGGAATTTAATTTAGATAAATGCGAGGTGTTGCATTTTGGTAAGATAAACCAGGTCAGGACTTACATAGTTAATGATAGGACCCTGTGGAGTTTGGTCGAACAGAGAGACCTAAGGTGCAGTAAACAGTTGCCTGAAAGTGGTGTCACAGGTAGACAGGGTGGTGAAGAAAGCATTTGGAGCATTGAGTATAGGGTTGGGATGTCATGGTAAGGCCATATTTGGAGTACTGCGTACAATTTCAGTTCTCCAGCTACAGGAAGGATGTTATTCAACTGGAAAGAGTGCAAAAATGACTTACAAGGATGTTACCAAGACTAGAAGGTTTGAGTTACAAAGAGAGGCTGGTTCGGCTGGGACTTATTTCCCTGGAACCTAGGAGGCTGAGGGGTGACCTTGTAGATGTTTATAAAATCATGAGGGGCATAGATAAGGTGTATACCCAAGGTCTTTTTTCCAAGAATGGGAGAGTCCAAAACTAGAGGCCATGGGTTTAAAGTCAGAGGGGAAAGATTTAAAAGGGATCTGAGGGTTAACTTTTTGGTGCAGAGGATGGTATGTGTATGGAATGAGCCTTCAGAGGAAATGGTGGAGGCTGGTACAATTACATTTAAAAGCCATCTGGATGGGTACATGAATAGGAAGGGTTTAGAGGGATATGGGCCAAATGCTGGCATGGACGAGTTGGACCGAAGGGTCTGTTTCCTTGCTGTGCAACTCTATGACCTCTGTCTGCTTTGTCCACTGGTATGTGTGATGCTGTCAGTCGACCACACCTTATATACAGGATAGTTCCTCAGTCTCTCTTAGCTCCACAGGCGTTTACAGTCAGTCTTTATTCTCTCTCTCTCTGTGCTCCCCATGGTTCGTGGAAGTGGTGGAGTGAGCAGTCTCCAGGGTAAAGGGGCGGTCGTTACAAGTGTTGGTTCCCTAGCGTCGGGTACAATCGATAGTGAAAGAACAGAGAAAACAGACCAGCGTCTACTAACCTCGAGAATTCCACCCAAACTCTGTTAGGCTGCGGGATTTGTCAAAGTAAGTCTTATCTTAATGCGCCCGTTTTAAAAAGCTAAAATAAAAGAGCTGTTACAATAAAATCGCGGGGAGTCTCCACCGATTGAGTTCTGGAGATTGTCAAATAATTGAAACTAGCAGGAGGGGTAATCTGTGCTAGAAATGGATTTAAAATAAGCGAATGATGTTTAGCTTCTTCTTAATGTTAAATACAATTCGGATTTCTGATTTAAATCGGGTATTCGGCTTGAATTTGAACTGAATTGGGGGCTTCACTGGTGTTCTGCTGACTGTAGGCAGCCCGTGGAGAGGCAAGAACACAAATTGCTGGAGAAACTCAGCAGGTCTGGCAGCATGCGTGCAGAAAGAAACATTTTTACATTTCGGGTCCAGTGACCCTGATTTTGGGAGACGTTTGTTTAGTACCTTAAAGATGTTTTTTTTTCCTGGACAGACAGGGACGGTCCTGTCCAAAACAGAGTGATAGCGACAACTGCAAATGCTGGAGCCCTGTCCAAAACAGGCAGAGACACACGTTCCTTTAGTGGATAACCAGCGAATGAACGGGAGAGCCCCCTCTCTCTCTCTCTCTCTCTGGGAGATGGGGGCTGAGTATAAGTACCGTGCTGGGAGACACAGCTCATTGCTCACAATATCGCCGGGGTCTGTGTACCTGCTCCTCAAAAATCTCCAACCGAATATTTCCCACGTTACTCTCACCCATTGAAGCATTTCCTTTATGAAAATTAGAAACAAAAACAGAAGTTGCTGGAAAAGCTCAGCAGGTCTGGCAGCATCTGTGAACGAAATATCAGAGTTAACGTTTCGGGTCCGGTGACCCCTCCTCAGAACTCCTTTATCAAAATTAATTTGACTTCTTACTTTTTAATGTTCAGAATTGGTCTTGGCAGTGAACGCCCCAGTGAGTGTTGATCGGTATTAATTAATATTTTGGTGTGTAATTATTGGGGGAATTAAAAACCTGAGGTAAGTTCTTTGGCATGGATTTCTTAATGTGATTAAGGCAGTATCTATCAAACTACCTATCTGTCTACCAACCAGCTATCTATCTAGCTATGTCTGTCTGTCTGTACATCCATCTATCAACGATTTAATTTGCTCCTTAGGGGAAAGATATAAAAGGGACCTACCGGGAAACTTTTACATGCAGAGGGTGGTGTGTGTATGGAATGAGCTGCCAAAGGAGGTGGTGGAGGCTGGTACAATGACAACATTTAAAAGGCGTCTGGATGGGTACATGAATAGGAAGGGCTTAGAGGGATATGGCCTAATGCTGGCAAATTGGATTAGATTAATTTAGGATATCTGGTTGTCGTGGATGAGTTGGATTCAAGGGTCTGTTTTCGTGCTGTACACTCTCTCTCTCTCTTTATCTATCTATCTGTCTTAACTCTGTGCATTCAGTAAACTCATTATCAACTTTATTGTGTTAATATTGTGGTTTTTTTAAAGTCATGGGGTAAAATTTGACTTGACAAAGATCCAAAACCAACCGCATTTGTATTTCAGTTGAGCTAAGTATCGCACAGGGCTATAATCTGGTGGGAGATAGGATGCATCTGGTGCTATCTTCCTGTATAAGTGATTTCCATTACCACTCCCCTAGGAGTCCAGGGTAAAACTGTGCCCTTGTTAATATCTTGTCTCAGTTGCAGACCATCATATTGGACGATGTTGCAGGATACATTTTGACGAGTCAGGCCTCTCCTGCAAGATGCTTCGCATCAACATCATTGCAAACGTATCAACCTCCAATGCCACCAACGACACTTGTGCCGATGAGTCGAGATCAGTTCACATACCAATTATCTTCATGACTATCGGCATCCTCTCCAACGGCGTTGCCCTGGTGATTCTGGTGAAAGCCTACAAAAGGTTTAGACAGAAATGGAGAGCATCCTTCCTGCTGTTTGCCATCGGACTGGTCTGCACGGACTGCTTGGGCCATATCATCACTGGTTCCATAACCATCAGGGTGTATGCCATGAACAAAAACTGGACAAGGATTGACTCCTCGGGACACCTCTGCCCGTTTTTCGGAACCAGTATGGTTTTCTTCGGCCTCTCAGCCTTGTTCCTTGGCAGTATCATGGCAATTGAGCGGTGCCTGGGCATCACTCAGCCACTTTTTCACTCTGCCAAGGTGACTGCTCGCCGTGCCATGTTTATCCTGGGTGGCACTTGGCTGTTCGCACTGGTAATCGCTTTGCTCCCTAATTTCCACTTTGGAAAATATACAGTTCAGTACACTCGGACCTGGTGCTTTCTGAACACAAAGGACGTCAAGTTTGGGATAGACAGTGGAATTCTGCTCCTGTTCTCCTCATTGGGATTGACTGCTCTCAGCACTTCCTTCCTATGCAACACCATTAGTGGCGTGACTTTGCTAAGATCTCATATCAAGAACAAGCTTAACAGACAAGGGAAATCACACCATATAGAAATGTTGGTCCAGTTAATGACAATAATGCTCGTCTCCTGTGTTTGTTGGGGTCCATTCCTGGTAAGCTATCCCACCTATACTGTCTCTTATTGTACCAAATACTTGCTTCCAAATATTTGCCATCGCTGATTAACATTTTTATGTAGAAACTTTTCCTTTTATTGTATGTTATTGTTGTTGTAAAACCCTTTGACACCAAAACCTGAAAAGTGGGTTAAATATAGATATGTGCGTTACATTTTATATCCAAATGCATAAGCATGTGCAGCACCAAGAATATTAACTGGCAATTTTATCGCATTTATGTTAATATCTCATGGCTAATTATACAAGAATCTGTTGAGCTTTAAGTTGGTCGAAAAGGCAAGTTCAAAATTCATAATTAGCAAAGCACTGTAAATTCATTTTCTTATTAAATAATCCTTAGGTAAATGATTTGCCTTTGTACAATTTGATAGGAAATCACTGAATCATTTTTACATGTCTACAATATTACAGGACCATTTTGCATCTATGATTCAGTCATTGAAGTTTTAGGCAGTATGCATGCAGGAGTGATAGGAAATTGGCAGTGACAGAACGGCTATGCAGTTTTCTGACTACCGACAGACATTAATGCTCTTTATTCGAAAGCCTAAATAATTCAGTATTTTAGCGCAGGGAAGTGAACTATGTAGAGTGTCCGTATCCTCTACTATCCACTTAAAGTTGATCCAATTTGCTTGCATCTGTTCCCACGGGCTCTCTTAAGACTCCGAACTGGCATGATCATCGTACTTAGTAATGAGCAACTGCACCTAAATCCTCTGTCCTTTCCTCTTCAGCACTTTTATCCACGTCCCTGGTTTTGAGGTTTGCAAGAAACTTACATATGGGTTCAATTCCATTAACAATCTCGAATACTTCAATAAAATGTTCCATTTCTCAGCTGTATGTGAGGCTGCGGCGGTAATACTTACACATAATGCACAGGGTTTTTAAAAAGAAAGTGTGTGAAAGTCAAGTGATGGAATTACAACAATAGTATTTTCGGAAAGAATGTTCTGAAATTTTTGCTTTTTGTCAAACAGTTTACAGCATTCTGACACATGAGAAAAGATACATTCAAAGCAAAGATTTCTGGAATAGGTTTCTTTGATTTAAAAATTAGCATGAGATTACAAGTAAACCTCTGTTAATATTATTACACAGTAATCCTAGATTGTACGCATATGCATAACCTCCTCTTTGACTTTAAACTCAAGCAATTATAAGGAAGGCACCTCAAATGTGTGAACTCTTTGGGGGCAGTGAATAAATGTAGCATTCTTACGGGGAAAGAATTAAGTTTCCTTCCAGACTGCAGTAGGGACTGCAGTTTTTTCTGAAGAAGGGTCTACACCCGAAACGTCAGCTTTCCTGCTCTTCTGATGCTGCTTGGCCTACTGAGTTCATCCAGCTCTACACCTTGTTACCTCAGATTCTCCAGCATCGGCAGTTCCTACTATCTCTGCAGTAGGGACTGCCTTTTTACTACGTCTTTTGCATATTTTTCCCGGGAGTGTGTCTTGGATGGTATACTGACAGGACGTTATTTTATTTAAAGATTATTAGATTGCTACGTGGACAGCAATTGCAAGATTAGAAAAAAAACAGAATGAAGGACATGGGTAGCAAGTCCAGGGAACCCTGGATGTCAAGGGATATTCGAGAGTTTGATAAAGAAAAAGAAGGAAGCATTTGTCAGGTACAGCACATTAAAAACAGGAGAGGCCCTTCAAAAGTATAGAGAATATAGGCAGTTACTTAAAAAGGAAATTGGGAATGTAAAGAAATATTTTTGTCAGATAGGATCAAGGAAAACCCTAAGGCATTTTATAAGTGTATTCAGAGCAAGAGGATAACCAGGAAAAGAGTGGACCCTATTAGAGATCAAAGGGACAATATGTACATAGAACCAGAGGACAGTAGTGAGGTCTAAAATGAATCCTTCTCATCTGTATTCACATTGTAGCTGAGAATTTCACTTGGGATGGTGAGGTTCTAGAACACGTTAAGATTAATAAGGAGGGGGTATTACATGTTTACCTGGCATGCAGGTACATTTTTTTTTCCTTTATTCATTCATGGGATGAGGGTGTCGCTGGCTAGGCAGCATTTATTGCCCATCCCTAATTGCCCAGTGGGCGGTTAAGAATCAATCACATTGCTGTGGGTCTGGAGTCACACGTAGGCCAGACCAGGTAAGGATGGCAGTTTCCTTCCCTAAAGGACATTAGTGAACCAGATGGGTTTTTCCAACAATTGACAATAGATTCATGGTCATCATTAGACTCTTAATTCCAGATATTTATTGAATTCAAATTCCACCATCTGCTGTGGCGGGATTCAAACCCAGGTCCCCAGAACATTATCTGGGTCTCTGCATTAACAGTCCAGCGATAACACCCCGAGGCCATCACCTCAGGGTCTGATGAGATATATCCCAGGCTGCTAAGAAAGGCAAGGAAGGAGATTACTGGGGCCCTGGTGGAGATATTTCAGACTTTGCTGGCCACAGGTGAAGTGCAAGATGACTGGAGGATAGCTAATGTGGTTCCTTTGTTCAAGAAGGGCAGCATGGATAGGCCAGGTAGAAATATCGTTATGTAAAGGCTGGTGAGATGATGCAACTTGCTACACAAAGTTTAGTGAATGTGAACAGCATAGGTGTCTTTAAGGGGAAGTGTGCTAAGTATAGGACAGGGACAGGAATAAGATGATACACTGATCAAGTGAGATGAAGAGGGACGGGAGGAACTGTTGAAGTTGAATCTCTCACAAAAAAAAATCTCAGAAGTCTCAAGCACAGGTTTAATGATCATTTATTGAATCAGTGTTAGGGAAGGACTATCCCAGAAAGAATTCTGTGGAAGGACTGTGCCAGCCAGAGACAAACATCAGGTATTTATACTTTTTAAGTCATGCAGAGAAGTGCATTACACAAATTCTGAAATGTTCTGGTTCAGGCAAATAATTTGTTTCCCACATATCTTGTATCATATATTATATATATTTTTATTATATATACTATATATCAAAAATGGCAGAGGTGCCTAAAGTCTCTGGCCTTAATCTGCTCCCTTTATTTTCTTCTCTCTCAGCCTTAAGGTCTCCACAGCCGGATCTGGCACTCTGCTATTTCAGCAGCATTTTGAGTTTGCTTACATTTTAAAATTCTTTCTTGACAACCTTTCTTGAATAAGAATAATATGAATTTTATAAGTCAGGCTGACTATATCCCCTGAATAAAAACCGCAAGAACTGCAATGCTGGAAATCAGGAACAAAAACAGAAATTGCTAGAAATGACCAGCAGGTCTGGCAACACCTATGGAGAGAACTCTGAGTTAATGTTTTGGTCTAGTGACCCTTCTTCAGAACTGAGGAGTTTGATTTCTCTCCACACATGCTGCCAGACCTGCTGAGTTTTCCCAGCAATTTCAGCTTTTGTAACCACGTTCCCTTCTTCTTTCACACGCAATTGCTTACCCCATCTTAAGATTTTCAAAATCTTCCCAAAATAAATTGATTTGGGGTGAACCCATGTCATACCCAATATCTTCCTCTGACAGAATGTTATCACCAGCATTGACTGGAGAGACTGAATGGCCTGTTTCTGTGCTGTATGTTCTATATAACTCTTAGTTGGGCTAAAAAACCATAAGTGTCTTACCTGTATTTTGTTAATGTATTTAACTATGCCTCTCTGATGTGCAAAATAAAAGTGGACCTGTTACCCAAAATTTGGATACCTTCAAAGCTGTTCCACTCTTTGGAATGGTTTCAACATTCTCTCTGCTCTAAACTGAGGCATTAAGACCTTAACAGATCAGGGTTTTGAGCCCAAGGTCCACAATTTCCATCCCGTTGTATTTCTGTCACAAAACAATAAATTTTAACCAGCAAGCATATGACTTTTTCAGAAACAAAAACAAAGTTGCTGGAAAAGTTCAGCAGGTCTGGCAGCATCTGTGAAGGACGAAACAGAGTTAACATTTCAGATCCAGTGACCCTTCCTCAGAACAGTTCTGAGTTCTGAGGAAGGGTCGTCGGACCCAAAACGTTAATTTTGTTTCTTCCTTCACAAATGCTTTCAGACCTGCTGAGCTTTTCCAGCAGCTTTGTTTTTGTTCCTGATTTACAGCATCCGCAGTTCTTTTGGTTTTTATTGACTTTTTCAGAACCCTGAAAAAATGCTGGCCCTTTTCAAAGTTACATCAACTGCACTGATTTCAAAATGAATCACAAATCCATGTAAATTCTCTAAAAACAGCAGTCTAAAGAAAAATAAGATTGCTTGTTTTTGTGCTGTGGTGTTTTTGGCTTTGGGGTTTACTTGAATTGCGTTTGTGTCTTTATCAAAACAGGGGACTGAAGAATTTTAGACAAAGAATTAGCATTTATATAGGTCCAGCTTTTAAAGTACCTAAAACTGCTTTCCAACTGTAGTCATACTTTTGCCACTGTTGCAATGCAGGAAATGAGCTGATAAATTTCAAAATCAACAATGAGACAAATTGTATTTTGCTGGTGCATTTGAGGGATAAATATTGGCCCGAATATGTACTCTCTTCCTCTAAATAACACCATGGGATTTTTTACTGCCAAAGGTACACAGAGTCTCAGTTTAATATCTGATTGAAAGACAAAACTCCATTTGTATTGCATTGGAGTAGCAGCCTGGATTATGTACTCTGTGTGAAGTGAGACTTAACCTAAGAGGCCGATGTGCTGCCATTAAGTCATAGCTGTTGGACTACAGTATTAGCATCACCCACAGTCGATTCTTTAGTCGATATCACAGAGCTTGAAACAAAAACAGAAGTTGCTGGAAAAGTTCAGCAGTTCTGGCTGTCCAACAGAAGACAGAGGGTGGTAGTAGATGGAAAGTATTCAGCCTGGAGCTCGGTGACCAGTGGTATTCCGCGGGGATAAGTTCTGGGACCCCTGCTCTTTGTGGTCTTTATTAATGACGTGGATGAGGAAGTGGAAGGGTTTAGTACGTTTGCAAATGACACGAAGGTTGGTGGCGTTGTGGATAGTGTGGAGGGCTGTTATAGGTTGCACTGGCACATTGACAGGATGCAGAGCTGGGCAAGGAAGTGGCAGATGGAATTCAACCTAGAAAAGTGTGAAGTGATTCATTTTGGAAGGTCAAGTTTGAATGCAGAATACAGGGTAAATGGCAGGATTCTTGGCAGTGTGGAGGAACAGAGGGATCTTGGGGTCTACATCCATAGATCCCTCAAAGTTGCTACACAGGTTGATAGGGTTGTTAAGAAGGCATACAGTGTGTTGGCTTTCATTGGCAGGGGAATTGACTTTAAGAGCCGTGAGGTTATGCTGCAGCTCTATAAAACCCTGGTTAGGCCACACTTGGATTATTGTGTTCAGTTCTGATCACCTCATCATAGGAAGGATGTCGAAGCTTTAGAGGGTGCAGAGGAGATTTACCAGGATGCGGCCTGGACTGGAGGGTAGGTCTTATGAGAGAAGGTTGAAGGAGCTAGAGCTTTCCTTATTGGAGCGAAGAAGGATGAGAGGTGACTTGATAGAGGTGTACAAGATGATGAGAGGCATAGATAGAGTGGATAGTCAGAGACTTTTTCCCAGGGCGGAAATGACTATTATGAGGGGGCATAATTTTAAGGTGATTGGAGGAAGGTATAGGGGAGATGTCAGAGGTAGGTTCTTCACACAGAGAGTGGTGGGTGTGTGGAATGCGCTGCCGGCAGTGGTAGTGGAGTCAGATACATTAGACACATTTAAGCGACTCTTGGATAAGCACATGGGGGATAGTAAAATGTAGGGTATGCAGGATAGTTTGATCTTAGAGTAGGATAATAGGTTGGCACAACATCGTAGGCTGAAGGGCCTGTACTGTTCTTTGTATCTGTGAAGAGAAATCAGAGTTAATGTTTCGGGTCCGGTGACCCTTCCTCGGTCACCAAATTCGAAACATTAACTTTGATTTTTCTTCACAGATGCTGCCAGACCTGCTGAGCATTTCCAGCAATTTCTGTTTTTGTTTCTGATTTACAGCATCCGCAGTTCTTTTGGTTTTTATTTAATAGATCTTGATACGTCTGATAGTCCCTGCTTACTTCTTTTATTTATTCATCAGATCTGGCATCACGAGTGTTTTTGGACTATCCCTAATTGTTCTTGTGAAGATGGTAGTATGCTGCCTTTGTTAATTAAAACTGTCCTTGGGGTGTAAGGACACCCGCAGTGTCAGGGAGGGAAGTTCCAAAATTTTGATCCAGCAACAATAGAGGAACTGGGATGCAGTTGCAAGTCAAGCTGGTGTGTGATTTGGAGGGGAACTTGTAGGTGGGTGGTGTTCTCTTGCATCTTTGGTCGCCTAGACGGTAGGGATTGTGAGCTTGGAAACTACTATTGATGGCTTGTTGTGGAGCTGGAATGCTATGAAAGGTTTTGAGTCCCTAATCTAAGGAAACATAAAGTAGCATTAAAGTCAGTCCAGAGGAGGTTCAGTAAGCTGACACCAAGTATGACAGACTGTCTTATGGGGAGAGGTGAGTTGGTTAGGCCTGTGCTCATTGGAATACAGAATAATGAGAAACATACAAGATTCTTAGAGGAACAGATGCGGAAAGGTTGTTTCCCCTTGAGTGAGAGTCTAGGACCATTGGGCATAATCTCAGAGTAAGGTGATCACACATCTAAGACTGAGATGAGGAGGAATTTCTTCTCTTAGAGGGCTGTGAATCTGTGGAATTCTTTACTGTAAAGAGTTGTTGAGGTCCAGCCATTAAGTACATTCAAAACTGAGATAGATATATTTTTAAACAATAAGGCAATCAAAGGTTATGGGGAAATGTCAGGAAAGTGGAGTTGAAGATGATCAGATCAGCCATGATCTTATTGAATGGCGAAGTAGGCTTGATGGGCTGAATGGCCTACTTCTTACATTTTATGGTCTTATAGCACACACCAGCCATTATATGCCAGGGTGGAGGGAGTGAATGTTGAAGGGGTGGTGTGAAGCAGGTTGCTTTATCCTGGATGGTGTTGAAGTTCTTGAGTGTTGTTGGAGTTGCCCTCATCCAGGGAAGTGGGGAATGTTCCATTCCAGTCCTGATTGTGCCTTGTCGATGGTAGACAGGTTTTGAGAAGTCGGGAGGTGACTTGCAGCATTTCCAGCCTCTAACTTGCTATTGTGGCCACAGTCCTCATATGGGTGAATCAGTTCAATTTCTAGTCAACGGTAAACCCCAGTACATTGATAGTGGGTGGATTCAGTGATGGTAATGCCATTGAAAATGTCAAGGAGTGATCCCTGGATTCACTCTTGTTGGGAAATGCTCATTGTCTGCCACTTGCGTGGCACGACTGTTATTTGCCACTTAGCAGTACAAGCCTGGATGTTGTACAAGTCTTGATGCATTTGGACATAGACTGTTTTAGTGCCTTAGGTATCACAAATGGTGCTGAACATTGTACAATCATCCAATCAATAGAATGTTTATCCTGGATCCCCATTGCTAGGACTTGATACCCACACTTGGTTGACTGCTATCTCGATGTTGGGTCAGTCACTTTCCCTTCTTCTCTTGAGTTTAGCTCTTTTCTTCAACTTTGGACTAAGGCTGTAATGAGACCAGGAGTTGAGCATTCCTGAGCAAGTTATCATTGAGTTAGTGCCACTTGATAATACTGTTGATGACATTACTTTGCTGATGTAGACAGATTGGGCCATAATTGACCAGTTTGGATTAGTCTTGACTTTTTTAAGCAGATCACACCTGGGCAAATATCAAATGCCTTATGGAAATCAAAGTACACCATGTCCATAGGTTTCTCCTTTATCCACAGTACCTATTACTTCCTGAATCATCTACTATTTCAGCAGCTTCTTCTTTTGAGACTGTAGGATGAAATCCATCAGTACCCAAGGACTTGTCAATCTTTCGTTCTATTAATTCTCTCAGTATTCTTTCCCCAGTGATTGTGATTATTTCTGGGATGTTATTTGTACCTTCTACAGTGAAGGCAGTTGCAAAATATTTGTTCAATTCATCTGCCATTTCTTTATTTTTCATTATTATAGAGTCACTTTCTAGATCACCAAAGGTCACTTTACTTTTCTTTTCCTTTCTACATACCTGTAGAAACTCTTCCAATCTGTTTAATATTTCCAACTAGATTTTTCTCATACTCTTAATAGCTCCCCCCCTTTATCTCTTCATCTGTTCTTTATATTCTGTCCAATGTTTTGATTTGCCACACATCTTTGTGGAGGTATGCGTTTTTTCTTTCATTTTGATACAATTTTAACTTCTTTAATTAGACACAGATGGTGTCTCCTTTCCTTGGATATCGTGTGGTGAATCGAATTGGTTTGACAGCTGGTATCTCAGATGCTGGGGACTTCAGGAGATGAATCACCTTCTTGGCATTTCAGGATGAAAATGGCCACAAATGCTGCATGCTTGTGTTTTGCACTGATATGCCAGGATACCCAATCTTTGGAGGATGGAGTTATTCGTGGAGCCTCCTCCGATTAGTTGGTTCATTGTCCACCATGAGGATGGCAGAGCTTCCATCTGACCTGTTGGTTGTGGGGTCTCTTAGCTCTGTCCATCAGGTGCTGCTTCTGCTGTTCTGCATACAATTTATCACCAGGTAGGCACATCATTTTTTTGGTATGCCTGTGACTGCCCTCGCCCACTCTCATGCATTCTTCCCGGAAGCATGGTTGATTGACGCGCTTGATGTGAAAGATAGAGTGAGGGATATGCTGGACCATGGGGGTCATAAATTTCAGTTGATTACAATTCTGCTACTGATGATGCAGCACTTCATGGACTTTGATGAGTTATCAAAAATTTATTTTAAATCTAGCTACTAAATCTCTTGCAATGGGTGATAAACAATGCTATGAATAAGTTGACTGCCTGTACTTATTTTAATCAAGCTGTTTGGACATGAACATAGAACATAGAACATAGAACATAGAACATTACAGCGCAGTACAGGCCCTTCGGCCCTCGATGTTGCGCCGACCTGTGAAAACCAATCTGAAGCCCATCTAACCTAAACTATTCCATTATCATCCATATGTTTATCCAATGACCATTTAAATGCCCTTAAAGTGGGCGAGTCTACTATTTTTGCAGGCAGGGCATTCCACGTCCTCACTACTCTCTGAGTAAAGAACCTACCTCTGACATCTGTCCTATATCTATCACCCCTCAATTTAAAGCTATGTCCCCTCGTGCTAGCCATCACCATCCGAGGAAAAAGGCTCCCACTGTCCACCCTATCTAATCCTCTGATCATCTTGTATGTCTCTATCAAGTCACCTCTTAACCTTCTTCTCTCTAACGAAAACAGCCTCAAAACCCTCAGCCTTTCCTCATAAGACCTTCCCTCCATACCAGGCAACATCCTGGTAAATCTCCTCTGCACCCTTTCCAATGCTTCCACATCCTTCCTATAATGCGGTGACCAGAACTGTACGCATGACATGAGGGATTTGGATAAAGTGAGTAGGAGGTATCATTTCCCTAGGGTGGGGGATTTTCAATAATATGGGGGCATATTTTTAAGGTGAGAGGAGAAAGAATTAAAAAAGGCTTGCGGGGAACTTTTTTGTGTGTGGAATGAACTTCCAAAGGAAGTTGTGGATGTGGGTACAGTTACAACACTTAAAAGACATTTAGATAAGTACATGTAGAAGAAATGTTTGGATGGATATGGGCCAAGCACAGACAGCTGGGACTAGTTTAGTTTGGGATTATGGTCAGCATGGACTTTTTGGACCGAAGGGTCTGTTTCCGTGCTGGATGACTCTATGACTCTGGATGACTATTTGTACACCTTCATTAACAATACCAATTTCTAGGTTTTCCTTTAAATTAATATAAAAACCAATCTGCCCAAAGCTTAACTAAATGTTGGTCCTCCGGTTATCTATGTTGTTAGTCAAAAATGACTCAATTTCTGATGTTGATGACAGCATCACTTAACTGATGGCAATCTGCAGGGACTGAAAAAAAATAAAGCATCACCTTGCATCAATTCTACAGATATTTTCTAATCAATCTGCTCAGAGATGTTATGACATAACTCTGGAGCAGTTGGTTATAAACCCAATCCTACTGGCTCACCACTATTGTACCACAACAGTCCCTGCATCAAATCTTTAGACTTTAACATTTACAAATATCCATGGCAGTAATTCAAACTTATTGGAAGTTTGTAAATGCATCCAGATGTTCTTGCACAACACTAACGGGGTGAAAACACTTCATAACTGAATTATTTCAGGCAAGTTTTTAAAAAAAAGTTTAAATAACTACTTTTCATGACAACTGAACATCTCAAACCACTTTACAACCAATTTTGAAACGTAGTCACTCTTGTAGGAAAACAGCTGCCAGTTTGATTGTAGGAAGCTCCCACTCACAGCAGTGTGATACTGGCCAGGTTATCTGTTTTAGTAGTGTTGATTAATGGATAAATGTTGGCTAGGATACACAGATAACGTGTTCTTCTTGGAAATAGATTTTTCTTTTGTCCGAGAGGGCAAACGGTTCCTTGATTTGCTACTCATCTGAAAGCAGGCATCTCCCTCAGTACTGCATGAGAGTGTCAGCCTTGATTTTTGTACTGAAGCCCTGGAGTGGGATTTGAACATGAAACCTTGGCATTTAGAGTTTTAATACATTGATAATTTAAGTTCTCAAATAGTTTAACTCTGAAATGGTGCATTGAGAGTAGCGTGGATCTTGCATCAGCTCCTGAGATTCAGGCTTATTTCTCAATTTACTTCTAGATTTCTTACAGCTATTACATTTCAGTAGTACACATGAATAAGAACTTGGAAGGATATTAGCCAAGCGGGCAGATGGGACTAGTCTAGTTTGGGATTATGGTCGGCATGCACTGGTTAGACCAAAGGGTCTGCTTCTGTGACATATGACTCTCCGACTCTGCACTCAGTTTTCTTTTCATTTGATGACTTTTACGTTTTTGAACCCAAACTTGTCTAGTCACCACTTCCTGCTTCTTTACCCTCAATGATTGAGTTTTTAACTTTGCCTAATCCTTGGTATAATCCTGCAGTCTGGATCACAAACTGGACATCTGAATGATGAAAGAAAGCACAGATGCTTATTATGTATCCAACACAGAGATAGTTGACTGGGGAATAACTACTGCAGGACCATGCTGCCTATAAGGAGGCCATTTGCCTCACAGGTTCCTTTTAATGGTCAAGATGGTAGCAGGTTAGGACACTCCGGTCAGAGCTCTTTTGTTCGCTGGTCACATTACATTTTTTTTCTCTCCTTTATGGTTTTCCCTTTCTCCCCACCCCACCCCTCCGGACAGTCACGGAGTGACTGGGCTGAGTCCCGAGCAGAACCAGCATGGGCAGCATGGCCTCATGCTCTGGGGCCTACAGGAACATTCCGTGAGCCCCAGAACACCGCGAGCTGTGAGCCCCGGAGCAGCACGTGGGCTGTGAGCCCAGAGCAGTATGTGGGCTGTGAGCCCCGGAGCAGCGCATGGGCTGTGAGCCCCGGAGCAGCGCGTGGGCTGTGAGCCCGGAGCAGTGAGTGGGCTGTGAGCCCAGAGGAGTGAGTGGGCTGTGAGCGCGGAGCAGCATGGGGGCTGTGAGCCCCGGAGCAGCATGTGGGCTGTGAGCCCGGAGCAGCATGTGGGCTGTGAGCCCGGAGCAGTGAGTGGGCTGTGAGCC